GGCGGCGGAGATGAGCACCCGCCAGCCAGGGCCCCGCTTCCCCGTCCCCGGTGAGCAGCTCTCGGGGCCAGGCCGCCCTTAATCAGGCCCTGCTGGAGTCAGCAGTCCTGGTAGCGGACAAAAGGCGGGGAAGCAAAACCGGCAGAAGGAAAACGCTGGTCGTACAAACACGTTTTTGCCGCGACTGCTCGAAGAAGCTTAAATTTTAAGGTTCTTGCCGCAAGGGCTTGGGAGATTTTTGTCTTGCTTCTCTTCACAGAGAGGATACAATGCTGGAAACATTGTATCTAATGCTGGAAACAGAGGAAACATGGAAATGTATTAAACATACACACTGACTCGCCCGTTTTCTCTGGCTTTCAAAAAATGCCAGGGGACTCCTTTCATAAATGGGGCAGAATAGAGCAAACAACTATTATGCTTCATGGTGGTTCATCTTCTGCTGGTTTGCCTACACTAAAACTTTGCATCCCCGTTTAACTCAGGCTACTGAGACTGACAAATTCACTAGAATTATTTGCTCATACAGTTTTAACTGCTGTCCCATTTTTGCTTGAGTCATGCACAAACACTTGTCCAGCAACAAACATTTGTATGTTTTGACGCACTTGCCTAGGTTATTTGCCTTTAGTAGAGGGGTTACATATTGAGGCCTTCCCATGGTATTTACCATTGGTTTCTTGAACATGTGGTATATCCAGTAAATAAACTTCTAGTCTGTATAGACCTGGCAGACAGGATGTGCTACTAATCTCCCTGCTTCCTATAACACCCGAGTTGAAGCATCTATGGCTGGTCTGCAGTGTGGAGCAGAGCTAATGGGAGTTGCAGATGAAGCTGCTAAAAGTCTGACGAGACTTGCAGCTCTTGTTTAAAATAGGCTTGTCTGAACAAGCTAGCTACCACCTCTGCAGTACGCAAACCTAGTTTAGAATGACTACTCAGCGTGTCAGGCTTCATCTCGCTTCAGAACCAGAGAATTCCCCAGTCAGTCAAAACTGGTATTTCACATAGTGATCTCCTTTTTGGAACAGGGTTTGGGTTGTTTTTTTAAGATGCTTTCCAGTTGCTGCAAATGAACTTGCTTTTGGGCAAAGAGTGTAGGCCTTCTGGCAAAGTACAGTAATGCCAGCAGGAGGGCATCATTTGGTATCAAAAGAGCATTAGATTTTCTGCTTTTGTGTCTTGCCACAAGGTTCTGTTTCTTTGCTACTGCATTAAATGAGTCCATGGTCTTTGGAGGACCGTGCAAATTATTTTTCTTGGTTGTTAGTCAATGCTATTCCCAAATCTGTGTAATTACAAGGTACATATGCCTCATATACAAGATGACAGCCTCCTGACAATTGATAGTGTGGGTGTCTGGCGTGTTCCTACTTGCCTTGTCAGAATATCACTATCAAGAGGCTCCTGCTGGGAGCAAGGGCTGACCTAAGCAATCTCATGCGGGAGAGCCTGCAGACAGCCAGAACTTGCATGTAAAGCTGTTCAGTATTCTTTCGCTCGCCTGACTGTTCAGTATTCACAGCAATCTCCAGGAAGGATACCTCTGTAATGAGATGCCCAGAGCAGGCCTTCAGAGCCTGTTTTTAAGGGTGAGGTTTAAGCTTTAAGCTGCCTGGAGGGCCACAAGAAAATTCTTACAGACACTTGGGCTCATAATAGCTGATTTTTGTGCTGAATGTGTTTCTAAGAAGCTTTGCTTTCCTGCAAGAGGCCTGTTGCGTACCAGCTTACACCCACGTTACCTTAAAAACATGCGTTTCAACACAGGAATGGGTACTACTCAAAACTTCTGCCCTGCTACTGGCTACCACGATTCCTGTTTTTCAGCAGTGTTGCTGGCATTGCCTTTCGTGGGTATTGCTTGTTCTACCTACCTTGATAATTATATCTGGAATGAACTTCATGGTAGCTCGGAGAAGGTGATGATTTCCTCTTGGCTGAAAGCTGAGGAAGTGACCTCCAGGAATTCAGGGAAGACTTTTTTCCTGCTTTTTTTTATAATTGCTTTCTTACTCATCTCTCCTTGTCTAGTCGATAACCTTTCTTACTGGCAGGGAAAAAAAGCTGAATAGATTTTTTGATTCCTTCCCCCACGCCTTCCCCCTCCAAAAAGAGACCAAATAATGCAAAATAAAAAACGCGAGTCTAGCTGGCAAGATCTGCCTACAAGTGATATGCAAATAACTCTGTACTTCTTGCTGGTTTATGGTGTGCAAATAATGGCCTCTTACACAACAGCAGTAAAAAGGCAGTTAGTTATGTTTCCTATCATGCTTCAGATCTGAATTGAAGCTTTGGACTTTCAGATACATAGGCTGCCTGGCGTAAATGGAGGTGTCTGTCTGTCCAGCTGTAGGTGGCAGAGGGACTTGAAGTCACTGGTGTTCCCACACTGGTGCTGGTCTTTGGGGTGAAGGTAAACTAGTCACTCCATGCATTGCCTTCTTTCCTACTCAATGAAGTGCGGGTGGTAATATCAGATGGATTTTCTTGAGTGCTCGAATAATAGATTAAAAGCAAAGCAGTATTTAAGATTCCTGTATTTTTAACCACTCACATTTTCAGTCGTCTTGTCGGCCATAGCTGACACCTTTTCAGAGGCCTGATTTGGCAAAATCTTCTCCCAGTCTGTTAGCTGCAGCCAAGCTATGTGACCCTCCCTGTCTGCTGGGTGCTCTGACAACTAACTTGGCTTAGCTTTCCCTTCAAGGTCTTGGTGCTGATGATGTCCTAGGGTATTGCGTGGCAATGTAAGGCACAGCTTTGTGAAGGCTGCTGTCCCAGAATGGTCAGGTGGTAATAGGTTTAATTGAAAAAATATTTGTCGCAGAGATGTACTATGACACATTACTGAGTCAGATGGAAATGCCACATGGTTACACAGGCAGTTCTGGCAGCGGTAGGGGATTTTGAAGGTAGATAGGAGGGATGGTATGCCAAGCATAGGGGAAACAAGGTGTTTGCTGAAGAAGCTGAGAACCGAATATATGGCAGTGTGTGACTAGCAAACATGGGAGCACAGCGTTCTCGAATCTCTGCCTTTGCAATTAAACAAGGCATACTTTAATAATTTCTTGGTGTCAAATTCTGGAAAAATTGATGATGCTTTTCCAAGAAGCAAAAGTTTCCACTTGAGTAGCTGTGAATAGTCCACACTGGTGTATACAATGTGTGTGCATGCTTCCCAAACAAAACAAGTCAAGAACTGGTTCTTGAAATGTCTGTGTAGATAACACAGGCACCACTATGGAAGGCTTTTAGGTTCTGATCATGGGAAAGAAAACCCACACTGTAAAATTGTCAATACTTAGAAACAAATTTAGTCCTTCAAACTTGTCTTGAGGCAAACTAAGTCATTAGTTTAAAGTCTTCTTGGCTCTCTTGCAGTTGAGGAGGGAACAAAGACTTTTCTTAAGTAAAATATTCTAAATATTCAAGGAAAATACTGGAGTTCACAGCGCTTCCTAACAAAAGAGAAGGCAAATTTCATTGTGTCAAAGTTGCATTTCAATGCAGGCTTGCTACAAATCCAGTTTATCAGGCATCTGGCATGTGTCTCGCTCCTGAAATGGCTTTCTGTATACGGGGATTTTCTTGAGAAAGCTTTGGATTATTCTTCAGTCTTCCCCCATTTAGATTAAATTTCATTTCTAGAGTACTTGGCGATGGAGGGAAAATATTGGAAGCTATTAGTGGAGGCAGCTGGGGATGGCTCTTGAAGTTGGAAGCCTGCTAGACAGAAGGCTCTCTCTTTGGGCTGCCTTGTGTAGGGATGGCATTCTGCTCTTGCCAGACTTCTGCAGCGCTTTGCACTTAAGGCAGGAACGATGGCTTTGGGTAGGGAATAAGAGCCACTGTGTTACTGCAGTGCATGCTGACAAGGCATTTAATGCAACCATTACCTCATGTGCCTACAGCAGTCTGTATGAAAATACAATGGGGATACTGGTATAAGCACTCCAGAATAACGTACGAGGCAACACTGCCCGCAAGACGTGCCGCCTTTGCAATAGTTGCATGGAGGTACTGGGGGAGAACTAATTTTTGCTGGTTCCCTCAGAGAAACTTACTCTGTCCGTTCTGCCTGAATGTCTCCCTGAATATGCTGTACTGGTGTTATTTTCCCATCCGATAATTAGGTGGCTTGCCTCCTTGCTGCTGCCTTGTTTCAGTGAGGTTAACAGGCCTTGCAGTTAAGGTCCTCAACACCTATAGAAACAGGCTGATTACTTGAATGTAGTCTTTTCTCTTCAGTTGTGTCCCGAGAATGGTTTTAAGTTGGTGTTGCCTGTGTTAGATGGTTTCTGTTCCCTACAACAAAATGTCGTTTGATTAATGGTCACGTATCCCACAAGTACCTGCAACATGTACTGCTCAATGAACAGCCATCCATGTACCAGTCCAGAGTTGGATAACTGCTTTCATACTGAAAAAGGAACAGAACCAGGCTAGCTGTCGTAGCCCTGCAGTATTCAAGCCAGAATGCACAAAATAATAATGAATGTGCTGTATTGAATCCTCTGAACGGAGCAATATTGGGCCAAAGAGGGAAAATCCAGACTAACAAATAAACGTTTATTCTGTCATTACGGGCAGGTTGGAGGCTTCTCACCAGCTATTCTTCTGGACAGATCAGCAGAGACACAGTTAAAATGTCGATTGAGGACATGTATTTACGAGCGTGGCATTTCTCCTTGTTCCAGTGCTCTTAACAGTCATCCTGTTGCTGCCCTACACAGAATGGTTGCAACCAACTTACAACAAAAGCTGCCTAGGGTTTGGGTTTTTTTCCTTTTTAAGTATGTTTACGAAGCCAGTCGTGGCTGGTACAAGCCCAGGGTTGAAGAGGGAGTCCTACAGTTACAAAAGTAGATGCGCTTTTTGGAAGCAATTAGTTGCACTGGGAGTTTATGGGTTCATTTCAACCCATACTGTGACATGGCTATAGGGTTTTCTCAGATGGAACAAATCTGCCTTGTCCCTAGCAATATAATGGCTGCTAATGTCAGCCTGCGTGATGAATCCAGGGGTTGTACGGCAGCTGTGAAAAGGAGTAGCACCAGCTACTAACAGCCTTTCGCTTTGGAAAGTTAAAAAATCCAGTTCTTACTGTTGTCCCTTCAGCTTCTGGTCAGTCCCAGTTATCAGCTGCAGATTAACAGTGAATTTTGAGTTTCCAGACTGAATACTCTCAACATTTTTGGAATCTGAACTGACTTGCCAGCAGTGCTCAGTTTCTTTATAAGGAAACAACTTGTCTCCCAACTTGGAGACATGTTTCTGGCTGTGCAGTAGCACAAACATATGCTCTTGACTGCACAGTTTGCATCAACCTGCAGTTCCATTGCTGCTGCTTGTTTCTGGCTTTCTGCTGAGCATTAACCTCTTCTGTCCAAGTTAACTTCTTGGCAACAGGAATTGGTGCAGGGGAATTAGTTGTTGTGGTCATGGAGCAAAGATCAAGAATTGACAAAGATAGAGCTAGGTGACATGAAGTGCTTTTATGTGATTACTAGACTCATTCCTGTGCTAGTTCAGGTTTTCTAAGCATTTTCTACTTAGAATCTTGATGGTTTTGTGACTAAAAACTGAGCCCTAACGTCTGTCAGCTACTGAGGTGCCATTAGTTAGAAGACAAACCTCGGGGAAAAAATGGTTGTCTTGAGTTCACTGTGGATTTGTCCTTAGTGAATGATGCAATAGTTCTAGTTGCTGCACTGTTTGCTTTATTAGGGCAACCTTGTATTATTTAGAGTCTTCCCAGAGAGCTCTTGCCTACACCAACCACAGGGACGGGAGGAGAAAGACCTTTATTCCTCATTAGTTCTCGATCACACTCTGACAAAGTGCAGTCTCTCCGTATGGAGGAGGTGACACAGGAATGAGTCACTTTGAGTCGATGTTTGCGCTTTTGCTAGAATTTATCCTGGAATAGGCTTTCTCCGCTTACTTTCCTTGCCTTACTGAAGATATGCAGAAGGGTGGCTGCCTGCCAGGCAGCTGAGGCATGGTGACTTGTTCCCTGTTCTCCTATCCTAAAGTAAGTGCAAGGGATTCTGGATGGATTACCCCTAACAGACAAGCCATGCATTGTAAATCGTGAGGGAGGTCCCCTTGTATTTGAGTAAACCCCTAAAGAACACTGTTCTCCACACTAGAGAAACACGTCTGTCTCAGATTCACTGCTCTATGAGATTGCCCTGATTTTGCATGACCAGCACTTGGGAGATCTAGATGCCAAACTCCATAGTAATAGATTCTGCCAGCTGTGCCACCTCTCTTCACTGGGTTAGCAAAGCTATGCCAGCCATTAGCAGTTACAGAAGGAGAGATGTTGGTAGAAAAAGGAGAATCCGGGCTCATCTGAGGTCCTGCGTGGTAGGCATTGCTCAAGGCTTTAAAAAAAAGATACACATTAAGTAGTTGTCCAATCAATAACCATCTCTCAAGGACAGCTTTTTTGAAAGTTAGCACTAAGCAGTTCCCCCATCACCACTGACTTCCCTGGTTTTGCAGCTGAACTCTGCTGTTTCTTTAGAACATTTCCACTCTGACAAAGTACAATGTCCCCCATAAAATGAATCCATCAAGCACATGTTTTGGGGCTGAGCTTAAGGAAAAACAAAATGAAGAACAATCTTTAGTCTTTTCCAACCTTTAGTCTTTTTTCGGTTGGTGTATCTCACATGATGCTTTACCTGACTGTTTAGTACTGCTGACTGTGCTTGTAACAGTGATGTGTGGCAGTTTACACAGAAGGAGGAGGGCGGTTTTCTGCCATATGTGAATTGCCATATCTGAGGATAATGTCATTTGAATTTGGAAGACCAAAAACCAGTGGGGGAAGAAGCAATATTAGAAAGGAATCTCACCATTTACACTGCATGCAGCATTTTGAACAGATAGATGAGTGTTGGACAGGCTTCAACTTGGTCTTTACTGCTCTGACCATGATGCCCTTCCAGCAGTGTCCGCTGGCCAGTATGGCTCCCCATATTTGCAGTATTCACTATTGCACAGCTGCTTTTAAGCTGTCCAGCTTTGCTGCACTCTGAGAACAAAACTCGGACACAAATGCTTCTACCCTGCTATCTCTCTCTTTTTTTCTTCTTTTTTTTTTTCTTGTTCCCAAAAAAGCAGCAGACTGAAAATGCAGTTCAGCATCTTGTCGTTCTTGCTAGGTCTTGTCCTCTTTATTCTGTGCAGCTGCCTTTAACATTAGATTGGTAATGCTGCATCTGCACCTCCTATTACACCTAGCACAGGGGGATACCACTAAGTAACTAGAATTTCCTATCAGGCTTTGAGGGGGGAAAAAAAGAAGTTGAAAAGGCAGCTTGCTTTAAAAACTGATGGAGGAACTGCTGGGAAGTAGACACTTTAACTGTTAGACTTGCAAATTCTCCTTTTAAAACACTGAATTCAGAGCAGCTTCTGAAAGTTGGCTTGTTCAGCTAAAAACTCTAGCACTACAGTCCCAGTACCCCAATACATCTCTCTTGATCTCTAAACCAAATCCATGTGACAAGCATGGAATTTGGCCATGTTTTTACCTCTGTTCCTAAAGCTGCTAGCAAGCATGCTAGAAATGGCTAGGAAGCTTTGAACAGAAGATCCTTGTGGGCTTGATTGTCTAGCCAGCCTGAAGTGGGTAACAAAATTAAACTGCTCTAATGCCAAAGGATCTGCATTGACTGAATCTCAGAGGACAAGGGGTGGACATGCATGTAAAACTACCCCAAAACAATGTTCTAATGTAAGTAGGATTGTGCCTTGTTCGGAATAGTTTTGGTTTGGCAGCTGGCTGTGGGCAGCATTGAGACTCCAGATTCTTTACTTGGCTTGGAAAAAGAGGGCGTGTAGCCTTTTCTGACAAGACTCTCAGGCCACTGGTGACTATTGCCAGTATCGGTTGCCTTCTAGCCTCGGATATAAGGCAGTGTGGTAATGTAGTTCTGAAAATTTGCGGTGGTAGTCCTAAAGGTCTTTGCTCTTGTCTTTGCAGGCATCTGGAGTACAAGTTGCCGATGAGGTATGCCGTATCTTCTATGACATGAAAGTGCGGAAGTGCTCTACGCCTGAGGAGATTAAGAAGAGGAAGAAGGCTGTCATCTTCTGCCTCAGTCCAGACAAAAAGTGCATTATTGTGGAAGAAGGCAAAGAGATTCTGGTGGGAGATGTCGGTGTGACAGTTACCGACCCTTTCAAGCACTTTGTGCAGATGCTTCCTGAGAAGGATTGCCGCTATGCCTTGTATGATGCAAGCTTCGAGACCAAGGAATCCAAAAAAGAAGAGCTGATGTTTTTCTTGTGGTAAGCCATCTTTCCCACTCATTCCTAACATGCAGTCCAAGCAGTGTGGGTGAGGTCTCTGAGCATTTGTATTGCCCAGGCTGGCAAGATGGCAAGCTTAAAGTGAGCCAGACAGCCTGATGCCTGTATTCTGAGCCATGAGACGTTTCACTTTTTCATAATCAGTGGGACACTGCTTCTGTCTGTGCTGGATAATAATGTCACTAACTGCACTTTTTTTGGTGTATCCCACTAGGGCACCAGAACAAGCACCTCTCAAAAGTAAGATGATCTACGCAAGCTCCAAGGATGCAATCAAAAAGAAGTTTCAAGGTACGCAATACAGCTAACGTGCTGTATATAGCTGTGCTATGCCCCTAGAATGCTTATACAGCAAGGCTTAACTGTTGGCTAATTGGCTTTTTTTTTTTTTTTTGGAGATACTAGTGAGAGATGAGAACTTCACAGGTGAAATGCCCTGTGACAGAGTAAAATGAGCTCTGGCTAAAACTTACACTGTCTGATTCTGAATTTGAGGCACTAGAACTGTGCTCAGGACAAGAGCAGGCTTTGCAATGTGTGACACCGAAGCTGTACTGTACAGAGCAGCACGTCTGCACCATACAGGCTAGAAACCATTAGATTCATAACACTGAGCAGGATTTTGTGCAGAGCTGCCTCTGTGGCAGAGGACTTTCAGCCCTGTGTCTGTTGAAATACACAATCTCATAAACTTACTGTGCTGTAGTAGTAGTAATTAACAATTCACTTGATTTAGGGATGCGGTTGTGATTACTCATTGCAAAAAAAACATTGCATCTCCAGGTGGAGAAGCTAAGTTCTGTTCAGCCTGTCAGGCACCATTAACCAAGGAGTAAACACCTTGCTGCAGCATTCAGAAATTTCATGCTAAGTCAGTCATTACGATAGCTCATAGCCAGAAGGCACTGCCCACCCCTTCAGTTCCTCATGCTGTGCTGGGCCACAGTCTTGCAGTGTGCAAGACTGACAGGATCACTGTGCAGCAGTACCAGCCCTCACAGTACAACTCGCCAGTAGATTGGAACTAGCCAGGGAGACTGTTGTGTGCTGCACATGTGAAGTTGAAAAAATTAAAAAAGAAATCCTGTGTATTTTCTGCTTTTCTCCACATAAGACAGGTTTGGGTTGGGCTCCCACTCTCCAAAAAAAAGAAACCCTTGTTAATTCCTTAGACCAGCAAAGTCTTTCAAGTCTTTCTAGTCTCTACATCTCAAATTACCACTGATTCTTTCACCCACCTTTCCAGAGCCAGTGGGAGCTGAGTCAGCCATCTTAGCAGCATCCTCAGCTGCCATATCCAGGGTAGCACTAGAAATGAGACATTCACTCGTAAAATAGCCTGCAATGAAAAGGCTAACAGTCTGAGCACCGATCTAGTGAAAACTTTGTCCCTGATATTTCTACATTGACATTTGGTGTGTAGCCAGATGTCTCCCTGTGACACATCAGGGGAAGAACATCCAAATTCCTAAGCTAAGGCAGGACTTACCTGCTTGAGTGACTGGATTGCCTCTTCTAATATTACTACCAAGTATGTTTCTTTGATTGTTTACCAGCATGTTGAAATACTGCATTATTGAGTGTTTTGCCTCTTTTTTTAGGCATAAAGCATGAATGCCAAGCAAATGGGCCAGAGGACCTCAACCGAGCTTGCATTGCTGAGAAGCTAGGAGGCTCCCTAGTCGTAGCTTTTGAAGGAAGTCCCGTGTAGATGTCATACAGTGCCACAACTCTACAAGCATTCCATGTTTTAATATATCAGTTATGTAAAGCAACCATTCTTGGCAAGGGTTTCACTAACTGTAGGGAAGCTGTCTTGTAGAATAAAGTAGATTTTGGAGATGTAGCTCGTATGTACAAATGACCCTAAATAAATCAAATCTAAGGATTTATCTTGGTGTATTAATATTTGCATTGGTTTTCCAGCCCAATACTGTCCCCCATGGATTAACACTAAAGGTCTCCAAAAATTTTGGTCCAATGCAGCAGTGTATTATGGGATGAAAGGCAGGGGAGGTGAGAACAATCTGGTTCCTGTTCTTACTTTTGCAAATTGTAACAAGCAAAATTCAGTCAGTCTTTTTGAGGCTACTGGCCAAATTGCCAAACTCAAAAACTTTTCCCCTGTAACAGTTTAATACAAAACTTAAAACCTGTAGTTAAAGTTAGGCTAAAGCAACCTGTTGGCACCAAAACTGGGTTAAATTCTTAGTGCTTCCAGTTGCAGAGCAGTACTAATAAAGGCTAATTCTGAAGTTAAATAGAGATAACATAGACACACTTTTCTGGAGAAATAGTCCTAATCCACTCTTTTTTAAACTCACTGTGCAGTAATAATATTTAAAGGTTCACTTGTTCTGCAGGTTCAATTTTCTTGTTATGAAGTGTCTTGAGGTCTCTTCCAGCCCGAGTGATTCTATAAAAATTGCTTTTCTGTTGACATAGTTTAATTTAGAACTATCTTAGTTTCACTAATACACACTTACTAGCAGACCGGATGCTTCTGAGGCTTTTACGAATGCGGATTCTTATATCAGAGTTAAGGGTAGTACAAGGAGAAGGAACCACATCTTAAAAAGTGGTATTCTTGGCCCCAGTCTTTGGTCACTTGGTCCATTTGTCCATAATTACTATTGATTTAACTTAGTAGAACCAATCAGCCTGACTAATACGGCTTGATCTGGGCTTTTTGTCTGTTAGCTTCTTTAATTCTGTAGAAATGCATGGAAATATCACCTACTAGAAAGTTTGACCTGAAATGCCTTTTGTATGGGGGGGGGGG